ATGTTGCCTTTTGTGTGGTCGCAGTCTTCTTTCGTTGTATAGACGTTATTTAACCTTGTTTTCGCAACTTAGTCACATTGGTAAGAAAACTTAGAGGAACGCACCTAGTCCGGAGTCCAGTGTATGCATGATCATTTTCAGAGTAAGACCTTAGACGTGGTACTTAGTAAATACTTGATTTCCCCAGCTAATTATGATAGTAATCCTAACTCGGCCAAGATTAATGTCCCGGTGCCAGATATACCTTTACCAATTTTTTAACCGATCGTGTCATATTCGCAATGAAGGCTATTTGAAGCATTGATAAATCAGGTTTAAAAGTCATTGTTTTTACTGAATTCGATGAGCGGATCCAGGAAATTACCAGAGGACGATGTTTGTCTACATTGTCAATAGCGTGTCTTGCCTTGTCTAGCGAACACATCTTCTATAGCGTACTAAAGAACAACTTCAACTTGTAGTATGTTATGCTGAGGAGGCCAACATAAATTTTAAAGTGATGATGAGCCACTATAAGTAGCTGACAGACTCTTCAAATTTTGTATCTCATTTACTGTTCAGACCTTCTGAAGTTAGGATTATTATGGAATAAATTTAATGCATCATATACGAAGAAAATGTGGGTTTCAAAGAATCTCCTGAGATAAGATTGATGTAAAGACTTTCATTTCGTATGGAAGTAAATAATGATCTTAAAGTTTGCTCGCAATTAGTATTAGTGTTAACTTGAGTCTTTTGCAAGAATGAGTCCCAGCTCTGACGATGTTCGTCATATGGCATGATCAACGAAAGCTCAACCCCCCTTCACCTGAAACGTTGGAGGATGTCTCATGGGCGGCATCAATCTGAAGGGCGTATTAAGGCCAAACGGCTGCCGTACAACGCGACTTATCCAATGTCTTTTGGTGACATTGACCTACGAATATAATCATAATGTACTTCCATACGAAATGCAAGTCTTTACATGAATGCATCATGTCTGGTTCGAAATCAGCTCTACTTAAATTAAATAAATCCGGTACTACTTTATTTTTTGCAAGGTGTATTTGCACATTTTTACATTTAGATTATCCTTTAGCATTCCGCTCTTTTCTAAGAGCTTTAAGCATCCTTGGTACCTAAGTGTAAATTTTAGGACTGATATCTGAACTTTCAACAATGAGATTAGTACACCTCATGCTTCCATTGGAGTTCATATAGTCCCAGCAACGAAAAGGCCTTTTTATTCCAGCCAAACAACTGGACGTTACGATAGGTCCAACTAGGTACAGTCGCTAAAAGTTCATAGAGCAGATATAACTTTTGGTTATGACCAAGTCTCTACAAATCCCATCTTCACAAGTGGCAAACTTGTAGTTTCCATCACAATAACTATATTACTTATATTCGTAATAAGTAGTCTTCGATACTATCAGTACATCAAGGATAAAGGATTTAGCCAATTATCCCTCTCACGACCTCTCGTCTCATGACAGATTTAACTAACGTCATTGCTAATCTTGCTTGTTATTAAAGTTTCAGTTGCCCCGGGATGATCCACAGGCACTTGTGGCTGTGTAGTGGAGCCTTTACGTGCGCATTTCCCAGTCTTGGATCCTGTTGAAGTTGATGATAAAACCAAGACGAAGTCAAAATTTAAGTCCAATTTAGATAAGAATATCTTATGGGGAGCAATTTTATGTGAACTTCAATGGCCTACTAATTTCAGTGTGGTAGATTTAATTATCAATCCTTATATCATCCTAAGCTAACCAGGATGACTGAAGTTCGTATTCAAGAGCTATTGTTAGTCTGGAAACTTATTCAGCATAACTTAAGCCTACAGTCAGTTTCTTGATCGACTATTTCTGCAGATATTATACTCAGTATACTTAATTAAGTTATTCCTGAGTGTGTCTTCGATCGCCAGTGAACTCCTGTTCTTCTAACTACAATTCGGGATGTTCGGTAAGCTCAAAACGCCCTTATTTTCCTTAAGGTGGCCTCAATTTTGTCCTCACTTTTATATAATTTATTACCTTCATCAAGTAACCTTCTGTTGTTTTGACGTGTTCCGCTCTAGAGGGGGGCAGAACGAAGTATTTTATGTGTTAATTTAGACATTTTTCTCTGCTTCTTTTCAAACCAAGCTTCAGCAAATAAGACACTGTAAAGTCATTTTGGTAAAATTCTACTAACAAATTCTAAGTACAGGAGCACTTTTATTCTGGTCCAATTTCTCATTAGTTGGACGGTCAAGATCCACCTCCGTTACCTCCTCGTCGAGGTGCTCTTTTCGAAGTACCCTCTGGCATCCGACCTGTACTTCAACGCACCGGCATCGAAGTGCTTTGCTGGGGCGTAAGAAATATGCGCAAGTTCCAGTTGATGAGCGTCAACTCACCCTCAGTAGAGATCGAGATCGGCGGAAATCGAGTTGAATCGAGCGTGATAAAGAACGCCAAGCGCAACCCGAACTTCAACAGCCCTTTGCTCTTTCTCGACGTCATGATGCCCAAAGAGGAGTTGTACACACCGCCAATGAACGTGGGCGTCCGTGACAATCGACAGTTTGGTCGCAAGCCTATTGTCGGACAGTTTCAGATAACCGGTTTGGAAGCTTTCAGAAGGCTGGCTCTTAATGCACAATTCAATCCGTTGGACAACTTCCCCAGCAAGTGAAAATTGTCTTTCTTCCTAGCAGTATTGTCAATCTTTAAATTTCCTGTGGTTTGGCATAAAAGTTGCAGTCTATCATTAAATAAGGATTTATAAATTCACCTGGTCATCAACTGTCTATTTGCATTTCCGTTATTTTGCCCGTCATGTGCTCAGAAGGACTGAATGTCTCAGAATGTGGTTATATGCAATGATGGCACACAGACTGTTATCCAACAATACTGAGTAACCAACAAATTTTACAGACATCAACATTCTGCCTTGCCTCTAAAGTCATATATATAACATTTAGTTCACTGACATTCAGACCATGTGATCAAAAGAGCATCATGTTTTCTGCTTATTTCATATATGATGCTGTTACCGGAAACCGGGAAAAGTCGAACAGAGCTCCATCATTAATCAAAATTAATTTTATGGATTTGTGAGGGAGTGAAATTTCACGCATATTTCTAATACTGAATTATTTAATCAGTAATTTATCAGTAAATAAATCAAGTACTGGCCATCTTAAGAGTCTGGCACAAACCTCAACGTTAAGATGGAGATTTCTTGTCGAGGTGAGCATATCTAACGCAAATGTCTGTCATCACTTGCTCTGGCTAATAGTCGCCTTAATTGCAATTTTAATTTGTGAATTAATTTTAATTTATTATAACCGGGCTTTTTAAAAGGTATTTATGTATGGAGGGTAATCTAACATAGTTGCTGTGATTTACTTGTGTCGAGTTATGGCAAAATAACAGAGGCTTGATAGTCCAGATAGAATATTCAAATGCAACTGAAATGAAAGCCATATTGAAGGGTAATTAAATTTTTCTCCTACTTTATTTAATTTGCTTCTTATT